AGAACCAATACTTCCTGGTTCTTCCCTCTCGCTATCACGTATGGCCTTGCGCGCATGCTCGTAATTTATGCTTCTTCTACACATAGTCCCATCCCTTTGAGCTTCAGACCAAAATTGGACAAGCTGGTAATAAACCCAAGTTCCGTTTGGATCTCATCCTTGGGCTTCGTAGCCTTTGAGGCACTTTAAATGGATACTTTCTATGACGCATTGAATTCTGATATTTCCGATGATGGCTCGTATTCTCGATAGATTGGCGAACCACTGCTAATCACTTTTCGAGAATCTGCTGAATCATCATTCTAAATTAAGAGAATCTCACTTGGAAGCTGATCCTGCAGGCGTGACTGGAGTTGATTTCGAAGAATCCGCGGCTGAAGAAGATTTTGGGGAGTCTGCGACTGGAACATCCACGCGAGCTCTTCCACCTCCATTTCTACCACCCCTCCTACCCATAGTTCCACCTCTACCACCACGCGGAGCGGGATTAGCAGATGGTGGTGCAGGTGCTCTTGGGGCCGGAACAGCACGTGGTACAGGATTTGCAGTATTCCCCTTTCGTGGCATAACGTGAACGGTGCCTTGGGCCACGGAAACTGGGTTGGCAGCCATTGCCTTCTTTAAACCTTCTGCATCTTCAAAATCGGCATATGCAAAGCCTTTCTTTTTGTCTATTTCAACCATAGAGACCTTGCCAAACTTCTCTAATGCTTCTTTTAGCAATGGTTCGGTCACGCCTTGAGACGGATTGGCATGTTTGATGAAAGCTTGTCGGGAAATTTTGGATGAAACATCCACCTGAGCTTTTGACCCTCGGTTTGAAGTAGCCTGTTGAGGTGCTACCGTAGCTGAAGTGGCTGGAGTAACTTTTGGAGTTGGTTTTGATTGAACTTGGGGAGTAGATGAGGGCTGAGAAGTGGCGGTACTTGGTCGTTGCTGGGGTCTTTGATTATCGGGCTTTCTTAGCAAAACCATAGGTGTGGTTGGGGCAGAAGTAGTGGTAGTTGATGGCTTATTGGTAGACGATTCGGTATTGTGATTTTGATTACCTCTCCTAGATCTTCGGCTACCTGATTGAGCGCTAGGCTGAGCGGGAGGAACTTTTGGACCTGTAGGTGTTGTAGGAGTAGCTGGGGAAGATGCGTTGTTGTTAGAAGTTGAGGTGGGCTTTTCAGTAGACTCCGCCTTTACTGCACTAGCTGTATCACGTTTGATACGACGATGCGCCTGCGAAGGATTGAGTCCGAGATCACGTCGAAGCATACGAACATGAGCAGCGACAACGGCTTGTCTTTCATTTGCAGGAATTTTAGAAGTATCAAGCTTAGGTACATTCTTTTCAGTACCAGACTGAGAAGATGCGGAGGCTGCCGATGAGGTTGATGCAGCTGCTGTTCTCTTGCCAGCTTCCCTGTTCAAAATCTTGACAGCTTCTTGTGTGGTTGCAACTTTGTCGGATTTGGAATCCTTGCTGGACTTTTTCCCATCACCTGTAGAATTCGATCCTTCACTTGTCTTGGACTTTGAAGATTCCTGTTTCTTTGCTGCTTTGGCTGCTGATTCCTTCGACTTATTGGCCTTCTTGTCTTTCAAAAATTGAACCAAGGGAGTTACTGTGACCTTCTCGGCCTTTCCTGTTGGGGGATCTTCGCCCTCTGCGCCAACTTCTTTTGTGGTAACTGGATTAGCTAGACCCTCCAGAAATGCCATGAATTCTGGGTCTTGATCGATTGTACCAGCCCGGGCATCTGTACGACGTTTGAGACCTGCGGGGACTCTGCTGTATGGCGCAAATTCGACAGTGGGTGGTCCAATAAGACAAGAATTTGTGGATGTATTTCTTGCATCTTCAAAACTGGATTTTCGCACGACGTCGGAGAATGGCAAAAGATGATCACTATTGGTCAAGTGAAGATATGCTCGAGAGGGACGGGATGGTTTGGAAGGGCTGTATATATTTGTAAGTAATGTCGGTGCATTCTTCGCGAAAGAACATACTCTTTAGAATCCTTTCCTGGTTTGTATTGAAACCAATCAACCTTCCCTTGCCCTACCTTCCATTCGTCACCAAGCAATGAGCAGAATTCAGTCTCAGTCAATCCGGGAGCCAGTCTGCGAACAATGAGTTTCGTTTTGGAACTTGCTGGCTTGCTAGCAGATTGTTTGGATGCATTTCCCGATGTCTGAGTAGTTGTTACAGAAAGAACACCATTGGTATTATTGCGAGAACCTGCTGTGGTAGCCATTCCGAATGGTAGTTGTATAACGAATGAAACTTTGAGGTCGACTTTCGATCAGATTATTGCGCCGAATGATTTGAGGCCTGTGGGTCTGAATAATTGATATTCACGTTCCTTAATTTGTACGGGCTTGCAGATTCATGAGAAGCACATTGATGTAAAGAATTGCGACGCCCATCTGTTGGAGAAATCACCCACTGGCTTGTATTATGTTTGTGCAGGTAGGAAATAGCATTATTGTGCTCGAATATATGATTGCTGATAAGGTTCAACGTGGGGCATCACTTCTGAGGGAATGCCCTTGGGTCGGACAGCCTAACCACCGAGAATACGGTCACCATTCACATAATCTATGTCAACTTCTTCGGTTATACTACGATATCGGGCATAGCGCAGCATGATTCCAAGTGCACCCTCAGATGAGGCAGTTGAAGAGGTATTCTATCAGGAGGATTACGAACCATCACATTAAGACGACTACGACAACTCCCAGAAAGCCAATATCAGCTCTCAATAGGGCATTGAACAAACCAATTGCGACAATTCCAGAGTGAGAATTGTTGAAAAGAAATCCATACCAACAAGCTATACCTGCAACCTCGAGACGATTTTAGAAAACCCGGCAGATCTCAAAGAGGATTCAGGAACGGACTCAACTCTCCTAAAGTCGAGAAATTTTGAGTCGCCATATAGTCCTGCTTGTTCACGCATCCAAAAGGAAGCTCAAGACTTCGCCATCACCTTATCAGAATACACAACATGAGTCCCACGGTACCCCGCCCTGGAGCTGCGAAATTGGGCCCTCGTTCCGGTCTGGAGGAGTGGTTAGCAGAAGCGAAACAATGTCATTATTTACCAGAGTGGGCAATGAAACAACTTTGTGAGATGGTAAAGGAGTGCTTAATGGAAGGTAACACTCTTCTGAATCATCATTTTGTGTCTTCTTGTACTGATCCTTCCCTCGACAGAGTCAAATATACAACCTGTCGCAACTCCTGTTACCATTTGTGGTGATATCCATGGACAATTTTACGATTTACTCGAACTCTTCCGTATCGCTGGTGGTATGCCGGGCGAGACAAATGTTCAAGCCCCCACCACTGTGATCAACACGGATGCGCTCGAACCACCTACCGAGATTACAGATCCAAAATTGAAGAAGAAGATACGAAGTAGTGACAGTGGTGTGGAAAGCGCAAGTGGAGGAGACGATGATGATGACGATGATGAACCTCGAGGACGACCACGTACTGCAGGTGGATCAAATCGCAGTACGAGTTCCGGAGCAGATTCCGGGATTAATGTCAACAACAATCAAGTCTCTGGAAATGGGAACCAAAATTTCATCTTCTTGGGTGATTTCGTCGATAGAGGATATTTCAGTCTGGAAACTTTCACATTACTTATGTGCTTGAAAGCTACGTAAGTGAATCACTTCGTTTGGTCTGACCCATCTCTAACGATATTAGATATCCTGATAAGATTACTCTCGTTCGCGGAAATCACGAGTCTCGTCAAATCACGCAAGTATACGGGTTCTACGAAGAGTGTCAACAAAAATACGGCAATGCTTCGGTTTGGAAATCTTGCTGTCAAGTTTTCGACTTCCTCGTCCTTGCAGCAGTTGTTGATGGAGAAGTTCTTTGCGTTCACGGTGGTTTGAGTCCTGAAATTCGAACTGTTGATCAAATTAGAGTTGTCGCACGTGCTCAAGAAATTCCTCATGAGGGTGCTTTCTGTGATCTTGTATGGAGTGATCCTGAGGATGTTGATACTTGGGCTGTTTCTCCTCGTGGGGCCGGTTGGCTATTTGGAGACAAGGTTGCCAATGAATTCAATCATGTCAATGGTTTGAAGCTTATTGCTCGTGCTCATCAACTTGTCAACGAAGGATACAAGGTATGCTATTTTACCTGCTAAGATGAGAACGGAGATATGCTAACATTTTTCAGTATCATTTCGCACAAAAATCTGTCGTTACTGTCTGGTCAGCTCCTAACTACTGTTACCGATGTGGTAACGTCGCTTCGATTATGAACGTTGGAGAAGATCTCAATCCTAAATTCAGCATTTTCAGTGCCGTACCAGAAGATCAACGTGCAGTTCCAGCTGGTCGGAGAGGTGCTGGGGATTACTTCCTTTAATTATACCACACGTTCTTTACTGTCGATACATTCTCCAATTTCAGGAGATGCATACTGGATATCCACTTAGGCGTTTGTTTTTTAAAGGTCGGCATTTTATGAAGGCGTCTGTTTGGTCACATTACCCCTGTACAACAATAGTTGAATCTGGTTTCTGTCTTTTGTTTTTTAATCTAAATCGAGATGATGGGTTTGGCTCGGCCTGATCTGGCTATTTGACACGGAATAGGTGTGGAATGAAAGGTATCTATGGATCTTAGACCTTATGAGTTGATGAGTTGATGAGAGATGGTTCAAGAAATACATGGCTTGTTATATGAAGCGTAGCATAAGCATACAAGATGATACAAATTCGAGTCGTTGCATTTCGAAATTCTTAAAGTCATCTCTTGCAAAAACACATGTGAAAATGTGAAAATGGTCCAGTTCACCGCCAAGCATGTAGAGTAAAGGGCCTCCAATTGAATATCGAGGAAATTCGGGGACTTTTGATGTATCTATGCGTGCTAGCATCTACCTACCCCGCACAACCGTGCCGTTCTTACTTTGTGACTCAGGTTGATGTATGGATAGATGAGTCTTTTTTTGTTCGACATCAATTGTATTGTTGGAAATTCTTTTTTTCGAACTAGACTTTCTCTCTTGAACTTGTAGGATCACATTATATTACATTTTCTCTCTGAGCAAATAAAGCATATACATCACTTCTCCCATCTACCTACATATACCTACATATACATATATATTCCTCATCCATCTGACCGGAACCCTCGATTTTTCATCTACGTATTTATCTTTGGCAGTTTTCCTCTGTTCCTCAGTTCCTGAAGTCCGATTTGTAGAGAAGTAAAGAAGATAGAAAAAAAGCTAAGGAAAATGGTTAAATACTTCCCTTCTATCTCTCCAGAACTAGCGGAGTGGGCAATGGCTCAGCCGGTTTTCTTTACAGGCTCGGCGCCAACGTATGGGAAGCATGTTAATCTTAGTCCGAAGGGGTTGCCGTGAGTATCTGATTCTTTTTTTGGTTTTGGGGGAGCTGGGGTGAGGGAAAGAGGGGGGAAGAAGGATGTTGGAGAGAGAGGTGATATGGATGATGAGGTGGAGGGAATGGGAGGGGAAAGAGGAGGAAGAGTAGAGGAAATGTTTACTGATGTTTTGGTGATTAGAGACGCGACGTTTAAGATTTTGGGACCGAATAGTTGTGCTTAGTGAGTTGTTGTTCTCTTTCCTGTTTCTTTTTCGATGGGGAAGTGGAAGATTCGAAACTTTTAGAGGGTGCGATGATGTGTGACTTTAGTGGTCATTGATCTTGGTGATGAGTGCGGTGGTGGGCTTCCTTGTTATCGTCCCTATTTCTACTCGCGGCCTTCAAGTTTGCGGATAATGAATCTGATGCTTTCACAGTATCGATGCAACTGGTTCGGGCGTCGAGACAATCAGCCATATCTATGGTTCGTTCATCTATCTTCCTTCTCCTCTCCTCTCCCCCTTCCACAAAAAGCAACCTTCTAATTTCACCATCTGCCCCTCACTAACTACCTCCAAGAGAACAGTCGCGTAACAATCATGTTCTGTTCTTTCACTTCCTCTCCCCGCATCATGCGATTTTTCTGTACGGGACGTGTAGTCGAATGGAATACACCTGACTTTGCACCTCTATTGGCTAGAATGGGAAAGTCGAATGTGGATGGTGCAAGAGCTGTGATCTTGTTGGATGTCTGGAAGGTGTGTTTTCTTTTTTCTTCCACTGATTTTCATGAATGCATCTTATGATTTAGCGCAATAGAATTCTGCTCTTGACTTCAAGAAATAGAGGGTTCGAGACAAATGGGAGACATTCAAAAGAAAAGATTATTGACAGGAACATTAGGTCCAAACATCTTGTGGCTACGGCGTCCCCCTTCTTACACCGCTTCCTGTTCAAATTGACAATCCATCCTCTGGTCCCTGGACCGATCGTAAAACTCTAGGCCACTGGGCCGGTCAAAAAGTAGAGAAAAACGAAATGCAGGATTACCAGTTGCTGAACAACAGTTACTCACATGATGCCCTACCTGGATTGAAGAGTGCACGGAAACAGAAACTGGGGAATAGTGTTATAAGAGTCAAGGTTGATGAGGCGATGTTCTGGGGAAGGAGAATTGTGAAAGGAGAATGGAGAGGTGTGATCTTGGGAGTGTTGATGGGTTTGTTTATGGCGTTGCTAATGAGAGTATGGGGCAATGAGGGAGGACTTGGAAGTGTAGTAGGGAGAGCAACAGAGGTCAGAGAGATGATGGGGAATTTGACGGGGAGGAATCATTTGGAAGTTGAGCTCTGAGGGAATAAAGCTGCTATACTTTCCTTTTCTCTAGTTTCGAACTTTTTTGGAGCTCAATTTGGAGATGGTCAATATGATTAGATACTCAGGTGATCTTACATAAAGAAGTTGCTCAAAGTTCAAATTGTATATCGATAGTAGACAAGTCCTTCCGTCTGCCGTTACCTATGGTAGACAAGATGTAACCTTACACGCGTCACCAACCAACAATCTAATCTCCCCATCCCCCTTGAAGCCTTACCTCTTTCCTTCCACACCATCTCATCTTCCCCAGATCTCTCAGACGGTATGTCATAAGCACACCTCATTTCTCATTTTCCATCCCTTCCCATTGCAATTTTAAAATTGTCCGGGGATGGTGGCGTTGGTCAAGCTTTTTCGCCAAGCATTGCTTATTTGTCTATCTGGAACATTTTTGTCTGGGATTTCGCGGATATTTGTTCAAATTTGATTCAGATGGGTTTTTTGAATATTGATTGATTGGCGATGCTAGGCCTTATACTCGAAGACATCAGAGCCCACGATGAAAAAGGGTGCGGAGTTGCGGATACTATCTGAATACGGTATTAAACTATATATCGATCCATCAAACTCGCAGCTTTCGTGTTTATCCCTGACAACGGTATCAGAAACAACATGTCGAGAGATAACATCACATTTCTTCGGTCCGGTTTGCAGTATCAGAATTCTTTATACGGGGTCTAGGGGGTCTTTCATCCAGAAGTTCATTTCATTAGATCTTAACTTTATTTTGACCCGTCCAGTACGAGAAGTCGGAGTGCTGCTTTGAAGGAATTCTCGTATTCAAGTTGCTGTTCCTGGTATTGAGTGGAGGAGAGAAGTTCGGAGGGGTGATATGAGGGAAGGTGGACGGCTGGACGGTTAATGCAGCATGGTTGATCTACACTTAGTAATGTTTGTTGATGGCTTGGCTATCGAAAACACGGATGATAGATAGCCTTTTCGGTACGCATTGTGGGTGTCACTTTAACTTGGTATATTATTGTTATTTTGTTCAAATTTTAATATGCGAAGTCAATTTCTCATCGGGCGTTGTATCGCTCTGTTTCGAGGTCTTGTGATCTTTGTAATTAATATCTTTATTTCTTCAAATCATTTATTGTCATCTCGAGGGGGAAAAGAAATTGCCGTTCACCGGTGTTCCTTTCCCATATGGTTACCCCCCTCGGATGTTTGTACAAAGTATAGGAAATGTGCAAGTGCTAAGTATGCCCTTTTGGTTAAAGATCCTCAATACATGCATGTAACCTTACTCATCAATCGCCCCAAAGTTCAAACGCCTTGATGCCGTCCACCAGGTCCGGATATCATCAGGAGACTTGTTCCTGACTGGTGGCTCAGGGTGGCTCACCCTAACATCTCGTATTCCATATCACAACCCTTACACTTACACTTAGGGACCATGAAAAGTATGGATATCTTAATTGGGACAGGATATGGTATGCAGGAAAGATCGGGTTTGATTTCGGTTTATATTGGCTCTTCCTTTTGTTTTGATTTCTTTTGTTTTTGAAATTGTTTACACTCTTTCTGTTTTGCGTCTTTTTTTACATAATTGAAGAGTTGGTGATTGTTTCAACATTTTTTGATTTACACATACATTCAGTCTCTCGTTCTGCTTGTATCGTACGCATTGCACTTGTATTTCGAGTAGTTTACTCTTGTTCCATACCTCCATTCGTTACAGTCTTTTGCCCTCGGCTTTACACAACATCACGATGAAGTACTCACTTATTCCACTCGTTCCCCTTTTCGCGGGTTTATCTCAAGCTGCAAGTAGTGATGATTGGGCTGGGAGATCTATCTATCAGGTTATCACAGATAGATATCATCGATCCTCAGATTTAGATGCTCCTTGTAATATTACAAATTATTGTGGAGGTACTTGGAATGGCATCACGGAGAATCTGGATTATATCCAGAATATGGGATTCACGGCCGTTCAAATTAGTCCTGTCAATTTGAACATTAACAGTACGACGATTTATGGACAAGCTTTCCATGGATATTGGCAAACTGTATGTTTTCTCTTGGCCGAGCTTCTCTCTGTTTGCATGCAATTGGCTTGCTATTGTGATAGCATGGAAAGTTCTAACATCAATATTCTAGTCTCTTTACGATCTTAACCCAAACTTCGGTTCAGCAGATGATTTGTTGAAACTTAGTGCAGAACTTCACAAGAGAAAAATGTACCTCCTAGTCGATGTCGTCGCTAGTGAGATGGCTGTTGACATTGGAGACCACAACATGACAGCAGGAACCAAGATCGATTATTCTGCTTTCTCTCCCGCTCCATTCAACGATGAAGCATCATACAACTCATACTGCCCAATCGTCGATTGGCAAAACGTTACAGAATATCAAAATTGTTGGTTGGGATACACCGGGGTCGCAACTCCAGACATCAAAACGGACAATAAAGAGATTGCAGCTGCGTTAGGAACCTGGATTAAGGAGCTCGTCGCCAATTACTCTATTGATGGAATTCGTGTCGATGGTGCTAAACAAATCACATATGATTTCTTCCAAGATTTCGTCGAAGCGGCCGGTGTGTATCCATTGGGAGAAGTAGATGATGGTGATGCTGCTTTCACATGCAATTATCAACAGTACACTGAGGGATTGGAGAACTACCCAGTTTATTTCACAACCATTCAGGCCTTTACCGCTGGAAAAATGTCCGGTTTAGTCGATATGGTCAAGAGTGTGGGAGCTTTGTGCAAATCTCCACAATATCTTGCCAATTTCATTGAGAATCAAGATCAACCGCGTTTTGCATCTTACAATGATGATGAGACTGTAAGTCTCTTCCATTCATCATCTCATACCGGATTACTAACACAAAACAGCTCGCAGCCAACGCAATGGCCTTCACAATCCTCGCAGATGGTATCCCCAAGTACTACTATGGACAAGAACAACATCTCCAAGGCAACTATTCTCCATACAACCGTCAAGCTCTCTGGGAAAGTAAACCAAGCACAACTGCTCCTCTCTACACTATGACAGCTACTCTCAATACCCTCCGTAACCACGCTATCTCCATCAACTCAAACTACATCACCAACTCATCCATCCTACTCCACAGCGACGATTCCACATACGCAACACGCAAGGGACCAAACGGTGTTCAAATCGTCTCAGTACTTTCCAACCAAGGTTCCAAAGGAGGAGCTTACACCCTCGCCATCAATAGCGCCGCAGACGCTGGAACAAACATGACAGAAGTCATCACATGTACATCATACATCGCAAGTGAAAACGGCACGCTCTTCGTCGAAATGGACAAAGGAGAACCAAGAGTCCTTTTCCCTAGCTACCAGATGAATGGAACAGGTGTTTGTGGATTTGACGTCGATGCTAGTGCGGGAACAGCAACAAGCACAGGAACGGCAACTGGAAGCGCAGCTAGTGCGTCGAGTACGAAGAAGGGAGATGCGAGTGGATTGAGGGTTGCGGGATGGGTGTTTGCGGGTGCAATGGGTGCATCTGCTTTGGCTTTTATGTAGAGGGATTCTTGGGGATTGAGTTGTGGTTAGGGGTCGGGCTACTACATGTACTTATTACTAGGTAGGTATCTGAGTGATGAGCTTGATGTCTTATGTGTGTGTGCATTTGTTTCTAGTTCGATGTACTGCGTGCGTGCATGCATGTATAATGGGATTGGATTGGATTGGATGATAGATATCATGACGATATTTCTAGGAATGAAAGGTGGATTATGTGGAAAGGAAGAAAGAAGAAGAAGAACCTCGGATATAACATTATATCGACTTTTATTTACTTAACAAAAATTAATCAATTAATTATTTTCACATGATTGTTTTGTGACTTTCTATGTTATTTACTTATAATGTTTTTCTGTAGATCTTCGTAATAGTGAAGAGGATGCCATGCTTCGTTGTTTGCTTGTAGGTTGCATATTGATATATTCATGGTTGTCCTAATTGAGATATATACCCGCATCTTACACTTCCACGGTTACTTGTATGCTCAAGCAAGTCGGAATACAAAGCTCGGGATGGATGGATGAAGAGACCATGAAATCTATCGTGTTATTCATCCAAGTAATCATTTTCCATTCAGAAAGAAAAGCGAAAAGAATTCGTTGTACATCTTATCTTACCTACCTATGTAGGTACGTCCTACCATATCATATCATATCATATCATATCTCTACCCCATCCATCTCATCAAGATCTCCAGACCACCCTATCCTAGCTCCTCGATAAGATCAAAGACACATGAAAGGATAAGCATGAAAGGAAAGAAGATCTTAGCGTCAGACTATCAGCGAAACTACCTACCTCACCATCTCCCACTTTCTCACACCCGTCTCCTGATTTGACATGATGTGATATGATGCGATGCAATGTGATTGGATAGGATAGGATAGGCCAATCTCAGATCACATGAACGAAGGAAGGGAAAATGAAATGAAAAGATTTTTGTTGCGTATCTGAAGTAGGAGGAACCTGGTCCAGCTGAAGTGGAGTGAGTTCTGGGAGGCGGGATGGGGGACTGGACCGGGGTGTTTACGTACATGATGTGTGTGATTTTTCTTTTCGATTATGGTTAGTGGATGATGTGTCTTGTTGCTGAGTACTTATTTGTTTGTTGGTCGTCGCTGCGGATTGGAGAAGTGGTTAGATGGATGACTTTCTTCTTGGAATCGAATCTGATTGAATGATCGAAGGTGAGGAGATTGGAATTCGCGCGGGGGTTTGGTATTGATGGTAGTTCTATCGTTTTTGTTGCGAGAAGGGATAAGAGTCGTACGATATCGAGAATTCCTGCAAGACGGGGGTCTTGGAGATGTGGTCAAAATGCTGACAATGTTGGCGGGCTGCTCTTTGTCCATTTGATTTTGTGGTAGAGTCTGGGCAAAGTTGCATCTTACTTTTTGTTCTACATCCCGATTGTTTCTTGGTACTGCTTTGTACACACTTGTGCTACTTCGCATTTTAATGGTTTCTATTCCTAGGGAGAAGTTACACAAGCCATGCTAGCTGAGTAGTCTGCGGCGTTCGATTGGCAAGACGAAGCTGCGGATTGATGAATCAGATGGGTGCATCTGGACCGAACATGAATTGGAGAGCTCTTTCATCTATTCTTACCATTCGATAAAACTCTCTTTCAAATCCCTTCTCTTTGGAATTTTATTTGGAATTTACCCCGCGTTTACCCCTCATTGTGTCTTTTATGGCACAATCTCATCTTCTAGATATTGTTGTTATTTCCCTACCTAATATGTTTCTCGACATAGAAAGAGAGCCGGTACTTTCTGTCATTCATAATTCCCTTCAATCCACAAGTTAATGCGACTCACAACTCCCAAATAATTCAAACCTCACAACCCATCATCAAAATGACATCTCTCAAACCTCGCACTATAATAATAATCGGCGCCGGCCCCCTCATGTCCCGCAGTCTCTCTCTCTACCTCGCTTCTCACAATTGGCAAATCATTCTCATCTCTCGCAATCACTCCTCTCTTCTCTCTCTCGCCTCAGAAATCAATGATCTCAACCCCAAAGCGCCCAAAGTCCTCGTCCACCCAGGCGATGCTAGTATCCCATCTTCTCTCCACAAAGCTCTAGATTGGGCTGCCGAACAAGTGGGTGGAAAAGTAGATGTTCTTTGCTATAATGCTGCACACGTGGCTCCGAGTCCTATTTTGGAATTAAAACCGGAGGTTTTGACGCAGGATTTCAACATTACAGCGATGGGGACTTTGGTTGCTGGGTATGTTTATTCCACATTTATCACAATATCAGAATTGGATGACTGGAAGGAGAAACACTAACTAAAAATCTACAGACAATGGTATATGAGTCACGCCAACACCTCCCATATTCCCCAAGGCGAACATCCTCTTTTCCTCGTTCCCGGTGGCCTACTTGATAAATACCCAGATCCTAACATCTCCGCTCTTTGCGCCACCAAAAGCGCAAGCCAATGTCTTGTTAAAATGTTTCAACAAGTTATGGCGCCAAAGGGAATCCTAGTCGGCGCACCAATTGTAGGAGGAGAAGTGGTAAAAGAGGGGAAGATGTCTCCAGATCGTATTGTGGATGGTGTTTTTAGGCCATTTTTTGAGGAGAGAGAACGGTATGGAGGGAATGAGGGAAAGTGGGTGTTGGAAAGAATTTGGTTGCCGGAGGGGGGATATGGAAGTACAGGGACAGGTGGAATTGGAGGGAATGAGAGTGGGAAGTAAGGATTGTGCTAATAGGTTGACGGAAGTTTGATAAGGGGGGCTTTGGGTGGAATTGGAGGGACGGGGGAGAGGAGAGGAAGGTGAGGTACGAGATTGTGAGTAGTGCCACTGTATGATTATGAATTATGACTAATGTGATTTTTCAATTTGAGGTCTTAGGGGATTAAGCATGCTATAATCAGCAATGATGATGGCAATTTGTTTCTCAGACAATTGGAGACAACACCTGGAGTCGTTCTTATTTTCAACAATCTCCTCGCTCGCCATTTCAAGGGAAATGGTAATATTTGTATCTAGAATGAATGGGTATAAGGCCAAGAAGAAAACGCTTCATTCCAGAAATGATGTGGGTATGGAGTTATGTAGTTCTGTTCTCATAGTTCTGCAGTGTTGATTTATTACTACAAATTCATGAAAATAATACTTGTTGCGTAAGATATTTTCACCCCTCAGTAACCCATGTCCTCTACAACAACTGATAACAATAAGGCTGAATAGACCCGATCTATTCTTGGCATGGAGCTTGTCACTAGTCTTGGTGAAACAATGAAATCTTCGTGACTATGTGTTGAAATGGAAAAACTCGAGTGCTTGTTTGTACTATATCATGACATTGTATTTTTCGGTAAGTTGAACCAGGCCTTTGCAAATACTCTCTCTGATTCTATCCTATCATACACCTGTTTCTAATCAACAATCAATCGATCTGATATTAAAATTCAAAGACATCACTCAGTAGCTGTTAGTTTAGAAAAGGGTTTGTCCCTTTACAATGCCAATATCAGCACAGAGTCACAATGCTGCTAAATAACGTAAGATCGGCAGAGAACCACTGTATGTAAGGGGAGCGGGAGCCCCAAGATTACCGTGTTCGGGCCGTCAAACGAGCTTGTAACTTTTCTCCACATGATAAGCTTTTGAGTATTTGCGATTTTTTAAGGACGACATATCATTGTGGCTCTTGGGAGGGTTTTTATATGATAATATCACTGGGTATCATCTCATCAAGGATGTTTGATTCTTGAAAGAAAAGACCAATGATTGAGAGTGGCTACGCAACCAAAGGATCACTATCGATTGGAGATAAAACTCAATGACGAAAATGCAACGTCTACATATCTGTCAGACAGGAGCAAATGCAGATATATCGGCTTGACTTGCTTTCCAGATTGATACTTGGCATTGACGACATCCATCCGATAGATGACTCCTTCGAGGTTTGAACCAAGCAATGCCCAAAGTTTCTTGAATCAGGGAGAAGCTTTCATTGATCATATATCACACTTTACGATTCCTTGGTTGATGATTTCCAAAATGCTTGTTCTGATCTTCATCCTTGCCGTTTCATAATTTTCATTGGATTACCAACGTCGTTTCAGCATCGGACGTCTGGTGTCTGATCAACCACGGTTGGATTCTTCCTTCCTATATATCTACATGATGAGTGGGAAAAGAATAGAGCAAGACGTCAAAACATGAGGTCAAGGATTCCATGTCGTTTCAAAGAATGAAAATCCTAGTGGATTTGTCGATGATTTGGATATCAGATTGCTGATGAGCGGTATGCACGTATCGTTCTTGTGAAGAATGGGAAATATTCTTGAGAGATCAAATGGGGATATCTTGATATTCATGCTGATCTTTAGTCCTAGGAACTGGACACTACTTGCTGTTTGAATAAAGCCAAGGGATATGTTCATGTATCATAGTTGATCTAAGAAAAGAACTCTCCATCTCTCATATTTTCTCATCTCCCATTGATTTCAGAGCTTTTCTTCATAAACTCTTATTTTTATTCCGTAATTTCATGAGACACTTGCTCATTATCTCCTACATGAGTTTCTCCGATATTACGACCCTAATCCATTCTGTACTCCGATTTCAATAATCCAATGAAGTCCATTTGTTGACGCTCCCTACAAAAATTCTTTCATACTCTCATTTATATCGGCCATCCAAATGGGTGGATTTTCTCAGTCGAGATCTTTTCTCGGCGATGCTATATCGATAGCGTCAACACCTTTACGAAATAGTTTCGAAATAAGTTGTCGATCTCCTGTTACACCACGACGACCGTATTCATCGAACAAAGATGGAATAAAAGGATTATATGTTGATGTCGATCGGTCGAGAGGAAGCTCAATATATGGTGAATCCAAATTTCTTCAAACACCCCGGAATTATCTGTTAACACCAAACGGTCGGGGAAACATAAAATCAAAAGAATCAGATGATGAGGATGAACAATTCGATTCATATTCAGGTACCACTTTAGCATCGCCAGCCGAATCGTTGACCTTTCTTCCACGAACTCCATTATACAATGTAGATCCAAATACACCCGAAATCGCCAAGCTCGGTACCTTTTCCACAATAAATATAATAGTCGGCAAAACCGTCGGAGTAGGGATTTACTCCATACCTAGTTCCATTCTCCAATCTGTAGGAAGCGTAGGAGCCAGTCTTACATTATGGGTCGTCGGATCTCTGATTTCCTTCTGCGGGCTCGCAGTATATCTCGACTTGGGGACTGCGCTACCAAGATCCGGTGGCGAACGCATATATCTCGAGAGGATATTTAGACAACCGAAAATGTTGGCGACGTGTGCATTCATGAGTTATGTTGTGCTTCTCGGATTCTCGACACCCAATTGTATCGTTTTGGGAGAATATATAATGTACGCCCTTGAAATTGATGCAAATAGGTGGAATGTCCGTAGTATTGCAGTAGCAGTCATTACACTAATATGTTTCATCCACGCTCGCTATCAACGAACCGGTCTCCGCATAATCAACATTCTGGGCGTGGGAAAAATGTTCTTCGTCCTCATTGTAATTCTCTCCGGGCTCGCCGGCCTCCTCATGCGCATCGGATCCTCTTCCTCCATCATCCCCCGCCGTCTCAATCTCATCTCTACAGAATACATTCCCGGAGCCCCACAACATCTCTCCACCGCCCAACGCAACTTCTCCCACCTCTTCGCAAACTCCTCTACCCAACCCCACGACTACGCCACCGCGCTCCTCAAAATTCTTTACTGTTTCCGCGGCTACTCAACCGCTAATCAAGTCCTCTCCTCCATTCGAAATCCCATCCCCACTCTCCGCACCGCAGCCCCTATTGCGCTTTCCCTCGTCTCCGCCGCCTATATCCTCGCCAACATTGCATATTTCCTCGTCGTCGAACTCGACGATTTTCGCTCCGCGGGAGTAGTCGTCGCAGGACATTTCTTCCGGAACATTTTCGGGAAAGTGGTTGGTGAAAATGTATTACCGATTGCGGTAGTAGTATCAGCTTTTGGAAACATCGCCGCGACAAGTTTTGCACAGGCGAGAGTTAATCAGGAACTTGGGAGAGATGGACTCTTACCCTTTTCTAATTTCTTCTCGGGAAAAGAAGGGGAAGCGCCGATCCCGGGATTGTTTCTTCATTGGTTTGTCAGTGTGTTGGTTATTGTCGTGCCTCCGCCGGGAGAAATATATAATTTCTTGGTGGATATTGGGGGATACCCCGTTTCGGTCATTTCGGTTGCTGTTAGTGGCGGTTTGTTGTATTTACAACTTACACCGTCGGAGAAATACCAGTCGCCTTTTAAGGCGAAGAAGGTATATATTGTGATTTTTATGCTGAGTAATTGTCTCTTGTTGATTTTACCGTGGATTAAACCGGCAGAGGAGAAGGGCGATGAAAGGTTTCCTTATTATGCGTATCCCGTGACCGCATTGGCGATTCTGGGGAGCGGAGTGGTTTATTGGGGATATTGGAGGTTGAGGGGGAAATGGACGAGAGGGGGTGAAGGGGGGTATAGAGAGAATTTGTTGGGAGAGAGAGGATATGCGGAGATAGGGAGGGAGGGGGGAAAAGGACTGGGGGAAAATGATTGGAGGGAAGGAAAAAGAAATGATGGTGTGGATAAGAGTTTGGGGGAGAAGCTGAAGGTCAAGGAGAGTGGGAATGCGACGGGCTCGGGCTGTGCGTGTAATTGTGCGTGTACGAGGAAGAGAAATGTGGTTAAGGTGGGGGATAGTGAAGAGAGTTAAGTTGGTGATGAGGTGTTTTGACTTTGATCTATGGGAGGAAGAAGATGGCATTTTCTGAGGATTCGGGGTAAGGGTACATATACATAGCGTCGGCGTTCTGTTCTGCAGAGGATAATACGGAAGGAAATGGCATGGAGCGGGAAAGATACCATAGACTGTATTCTACGATCTTATACTTAAACTTCCTTTCTACAAACTTCGTGCAAATTATGCATTGATTGTGCCATCACATTTTCTTGTCGGTATTCACTAATCACACTAACAATGTTTCACATCTCTTTTTGCACAGATGTAAGATCTTACCACTAGATAGGTAGGTAGATATATAAACTCCTCTTCAACCCAACTTTCCAGATCCAAACAATATGCTACGCCAGACATACAGAGATATATGGCGAGAATATCTATTCGCCATCTCCCATCCTATCTTTACATTCCCTTAAATCTCAGCTTTCTCCATTTTTCGAAACTTTTGTTCTATATCCTCCTTTATTAGTAGTGTTGTTACTATTATTGTTATAATTGTTGTTATTGTTTTTATCGTCAGTTTTAACTCTAATCAAGTGTTTTCGTATTAATCTTGTTATTATCCCATAACACTCTTCTGTTATTATCAATCTTTTTACTATTGTCATTTTGACGCTCGCTGCCGTCGAGATTGAATTTTTGTAAACTTCCATATCATTATAAGAGTTCTGGAATCTTCTCACCGCATATTTAAACAAGCTCTTTCCAGCCATCTCATTTTCAACATCTTATTATAAATATTCAATGAAAAACCCAAAAATCATTATTTTTTTAATTAAATTCAAAAATTCTATTCAATTTTATGATGGCAATAATCAACATCAATTTTATCAAAATTGGGGTACTCCTTATCATACTAAAATGATTCAGATATATAATAATAAAAAATCCTAGAAATAGATAGAACAAAATTTGGGTATTCTTCGAAATACAATTAAAAGTATTTTTAAATCGAATTTA